AATAAAATTTCTATACAATATCTTAGTACCATTTGTGCACTATAACTTCAAGTTCAGTTCTAAAAGTAGAATTGCTGAGACTAAGAATATGTGCGTTTTACATTTTTTTGCACTTTACATTTTGATAAAAATCTTTAGACGTATTAGCATCTATCTATGCTTGCAGCAACTCTGATGCTTTCTTACATTCAGGCTAACGCTTTTTAGTTTTCCAGATCTAGCTGTGGAAAAATGGTATCTTATTATTTCAATTTCCATTTCTTAGGAGTGGGATTGGGTTTCTTCATATCTGCTAGCTATCTACCTTTGTTCTTCATGCATTCATTGATTTGATTTTGAAGTTTGTCCAGAGATTCTCTGTGTCCCCATAGGTGCCATTCAGGGGTCCTATACTAAGGCATGGATAAAGTGGTGAGCTCTCTGTTGGCAGGGACCTGGCGCTTTCATCCTGTGTCCTTAGCACCCGGTAGAGGTCCAAGGGGGCTCCTGGTCTGGGCTGGGAAGGTGACCAACACGGGGTTGGGGGTTGAGGTGGGGGTCGGGGAACTGGGGTAGGTTGTACAGAGGAAAAGGCACAGGTGAGGGGTGGGGGAAGGCGAAGATGGCTGGACAGATAATAAGGGTGTAGGAAAGACATTCAGATTTCACTGAGCGAAGGGCTTTTAAAAACTGATGCTAGAAAAACTTTACTTGCTGTTGTAAAAAACCATCTGTGTGAAGTAGAAATTGGTATCAATAACATTATAGAGAATACGTTCTAAAAAGTAAAGGTAGCTGGATGTAAAATTCTGGTAGCAGTTTAATATCCTAGATGGTTAGGTTGAGGCCAGCAACTAATGAGGACAAAAGCCTTCTCTATGGGAAATTCTGGACAATTATCTGGAGAAATATTACAGTGCGCATAAACCACATTGAATTGTTTTTAAAAGTGTTGTAAAGTTTCATGTAGTAAAAAGGTTTTAGCCACATGCCCTTCAACTTCATGGCATCGAATATATAAACACAGAAGACAGCATGCATGCAAGATATGTAACTCCCTTACATGCTAACGCATGCGATTCAAAACTGTCATGACATCTAGGGCTCTCTGCAACTACGAGATGATTGACGTTATGAAAAGCGTAGCCCCCCGAGTATCAACACAGGAAGTGGCCACCACCTCCTATGTGTTTTCCCTTTTTGCGTTTTTTCTTTTTTTAAATCAACTCTGCTGTTGTTGCTGCTGCTTAGCAAAACGGGTAAAAACAAAATTGCAATCATTGATGCATCACCCACAGAATCCCCAAATTTCCTGTCGAGGAATCCTCTCGGCCTCTCTCCAGCGTGCTTCCAAAAGTTGCAAAAATACGGAGGGCGTCTGGGCAGGCGCTGGCAACAGCACTCCTGAGTCCGAGCTCCCACCCACAGGCCACGAGGTAGCAGACAGCCGGATCGGGTGGAAGGGCCGCCCTTTTCTTCGTAGCCTCCAAGGGAGCGGGAACAAAAAAACGAAACCAAAACCTGCCTGCTCGCTCCTCTTCCCATCCCCCGCGTTCCGCTGGCTGTGGGCTTCCTGCGGCCGCCGAGGGCGCGTCTCTCCTCCGCCATGGCAAGTTCCTTTTGCTTTGGATTTTGCGGAGCAGGTCCGTGCCTGCACCGTCGCCATGGTCCCCTAGAAGGGCGCGGAACCGGGCGCGACGGGCCAGGGTGCAGGGCTGCGCGGGAAGGGGCGGCGCGCGGAGGGGCCCTGGGGATCCCGGAGAGCCGTCCACCCCGGCGGGCAAACTCAGGTCAGCCTCGCTGCAACTTCCCGGGTGGCGGCACTGCGTGCTCCTGAAAATCACATACGGCGGTGCGGTGTAGGCCCGCTCCAGAAGCGCAGGACTAGGCTGCCACCTCCCGCACCCACTGCACAGGCGACGGGGACGCAGCCGTTTCGTCGAGGAGCTGCTTCGCAGGCTATTAGGGCTTAACTGTTGGCCTCCCACGCCTCGGGGGGAACAAAAGTGGACTGATTAGCCAGAAATGGAGGCCACAGTGCCTGTAGAAAAGGGCTAGCAAGAACGAGGACGCAAGTCAGGAAGACATCCTCATGTCTTATGTCTGCCTTGGTGCGAATTCTTGTCTTTTGTGGTCTTAGTTTTCCCTCTAGAGACACAAAGGACGTTTTTACTATTAGTGCTGGTGAGGAAGAAAAGTTAGCAAATTCAAAATGTAGCCTCTGTGTTTTGTTTTGTTTCCATCAATCGCTTAAAAGCCTTGGCAAGGCCTTTAATTCCTGCTCTGAAATGCTAGAGTCCCGGAAATGCAAAAGCAATTGTGAGAGGCAAGTGCGTTTTTGTTGACCTGGTGGCGGTAAAGGCGTCGTCATTCAAAATGAACAACTGATTTTGAGAAAATCAATATAAACAAATGCAGTGAATGAATCTTCTTTTTCTTCCCAATGCCTTACTTACAAAAGTAAAGTTTTTCTATATACTTTTTGCTTTCTGATAAGATGGCCAAGTCTGTTATATAACACAATACTGATGCAAGGAAAAGCGCCATCACCTTAGTATCTCTTAGCTAAAAGCTGCTGGTTGCAAAGTCCTTGAAAGGACTGTCTTTCTCTAGGACAATTCTTTATCTTAATCGTGGGTAGAAGAGATTAATAACCCTCATTATTCATAACTGACCTCAGTAAAATTATCTGTATTAGCCATACTTTCTCCAACCTACGAAACGAAGGACAAATACTGGCAAGTCATTGAAGTACTAATTCATTAGATGATTCATAGAAACTAGTTCTTACCAAACAAAATTTACACCTTTATGTTTTTTTCTCCTAAAAATACTGGTTCAGGGAGAAGTTTCTTTGATTTTAAAGATAAATTACATGTAGACATTCAAATAAAGAAATACAGTATTAGTACTAATGAGGGCATGGAACTGAAGTAAGATTTCCTGAGTTTAAATTAATTGCATGTTTTTCTTTGATATTGTTGGAGTGCAGAAAAAGATCTCCCTGCCGGGCGCGGTGGCTCACTCCTGTAATCCCAGCGCTTTGGGAGGCCAAGGCGGGCGGATCACGTGAGGTCAGGAGTCTCTACTGAAAATACAAAAATTAGTCGGGCGTGATGGCACCCACCTGTAGTCTCAGCTACTCGGGAGGCTGAGGTAGGAGGATCACTTGAACCCAGGAGGCGGAGGTTGCAGTGAGCCAAGGTCGTGTCATTGTACTCCAGCCTGGACAACAGAGCGAGGCTCCGTCTAAAAAAAAAAAAAAGACTTTGAGAGGCCAAGGGGGTTGTGGAGCACGAGGTCAGGAGTTCGAGACCAGCCTGGCCAAAATGGTGAAACCCCTGTCTCTACTAAAAATACAAAAATTAGCCGGGCATGGTGGCTGGTGCCTGTAGTCCCAGCTACTCGGGAGGCTGAGGCAGGAGAATCACTTGAACCTGGGAGGTGGAGGTTGCAGTGAGCCAAGATCACACCACTGCACTCC